CGCAAGAAGGGTGGAAAAATACAGTTTCTACATGGGGGTTGTCTACAGTTGCTTATGCTGTTCGATTCCATAGGAGGTTTGGAAAAAGAGAACATTTTATCAATCTGTCCAACCAGTGTGTTCATACACACTTTCCATGAGCCGCTGTCAGCGTAGACAATTGGCTTCATCGCCTAATGCAACCTAGCAGTAAATCAATCGAAACATCCATCTACCCAACTCAACTGGCTGTTTCCAAATGGCCAGAACTCAGATCGAAGTAAACCTTGTTTTTTGCACTGATGCGCTCCCGCCAAAAATAATAACAAGCAAAACAGAAAATAAAGTTACAGTCGTTAATGGTTTAGCCTGGTACCAGGCTCCGCATTGGGGGAAAAGGGAGAAGAAAAATTGATCCCATTTTTTGCCTTTTTTCCCCACTACGGAGCCTAATCCCAGACTATTAATGGTTAAGTCAAGAGCCTTAAACATCAAAGCTGTATATTGCAAGAAAGCAAGTCTTAAACATTGTATAACGTTTTAATATTTTAATAATGAAAACGGGAAACTCGTAAAAAAAAAATAGGGCGGGATCTAGTCTGCTACACAGCAGTTTTTAGGGTCGTCACACAACGCTCCTCCCCACAAACTTTGTGGCTGTGTAGCAGACTAGGCGGGATAGGGATTCGGACGTAAAAACAGGCGGGATAGCAGAAATAAGAAGAAAAAACTAGCGGGAAGACGGGATTTGAGAACCAGGCTATTGTGGACCCTAAGCAGAGGTTCAACTGGATATGGTTTGGTGTCAAAACCAAAACCTATCAGCAATTATTAAACATACATAAGGTAATATCGCACCTGTAGAGCGGGTTTTAACTTTCCAAGAAACTGACCAGTCGCTTTGAACTTCTCCAAACCAGGAAGACACACCAATTTCATACCCCTTGTCGCATTCCAGAGATAAAAGATGAAAGGTGGTTGAAGGAACCTTATATTCTGTCCATTCAGCTTCAATGCTTAGTGGCTTTATCTCCCTAAAGCGTACGTTGCTCTTTGTTATAGTGCACATTTCTTTTCTACTCCACGTTACATTGACTTTACAACCATGTATTTCCGACTGTTTGTTGTTTATCACGGGTGTAATTGGTTTGCCTTGAAATAATGAGAATAATACTACGATTAATTATTCATTTCCACGCATAACGTTAACAAATTAAGTTTGCGTTTTTTAAAAGTTCCAAGCTGCCCTTAATTGTCAAGCAAAGACTGTAAAAGAACAATACACGTATTTTAACATCCAACAGACCTCTATTGAGGATTTGAGACTGCAGTCGAAGAATACGACTTACCCTTGAACAGATAACTACTCTCACCTTTACTTAAGTCACTAATCTGCTTCACAGATAAAGCTATTCCAGTCACATAAAGATCCATGACTGCTCCAACAAACACCCCATTCGCCATTGGCAT